GCTCACTCTCCATAGCTTCTTCATAGAACTCAGGTTCTCCCCCATCAGTTAATAGCACATACTGACTGGAAGAGTAACGAGTAGATGGTCTCCGTTCCCTGTTAGACCTTCTAGGAGGATCAACTGGAACCTGCGAAGAAACTTCTTGTTCCTGGTGCACAACATCATCAACATGACCATCCACATCAGCTGTATCACCCTGATTGTCTGGTACAAGATCACCATTCTGGCCATTCTCTTGAACCTCATCAACATCATGTGTATCTTCGCTGGAAACTGGCTCACAGCCAACCAAACTTCCGCTGTCTTGAGATACTGGCTTTCTCACTTTGTCAACATCTTCAATGGTTTGATCTTCAAAGAACACTACATCACGGCTTCTCACAAGCTTCTTCTCAACTGGATCATACAGCTTGTAGCCAAATTCATCAAGACCATAACCAATGAAAATGCACTGTCTAGTCTTCGAGTCCAACTTAGATCTTTCATCTCTTGGGACATGCGCAAATGCCTTACAACCGAAGACTCTGAGGTGATCATAAGAAACTTCCTTTCCACACCAAACCTTATCAGGAACTTCATTATTCAAAGCAATAACGGGAGATAAGTTGATAACATGAACAGCTGTGGAAACTGCCTCTGCCCAAAAAGAACTAGGCAACTTTGCGTCATCAAGCATACATCTGACTCTCTCCATAATTGTCCGATTCATCCTCTCTGCTAAGCCATTTAATTGAGGAGTTTTAGGAGGAGTTTTCTGATGTCTAATACCGTGCATTCTGCAATACTCATCAAATGGGCCACGATACTCACCGCCATTGTCAGTACGGATGCACTTCAATTTCTTCCCTGTCTGTCTCTCAACAAGGGCATGAAACTCTTTAAACACACCAAACACATCACTTTTGTGCTTCAAAGTGTAAACCCAGAGTTTCCTAGAATAATCATCAATGAAGGTCACAAAGTAAGATGCACCTCCAAGTGATCTAACCTTCATTGGTCCACACACATCAGAATGTATCAACTCAAGTGGCTCCGGCTTCTTCGAAGGAGAATTGCTCATAAAAGAAACTCTTTTCTGTTTCCCTGCCAGGCAATGAACACATCTGTCCAATCTAGCTTCCTTTACTCCTGAAAGCTTCTTCTTCTTGGCAAGGTAATCAATCCCCTTCACACTCATGTGGCCAAGTCGTTTATGCCACAATTCTGATGCACATTCTTTTGCTGCCACATTCACTGAATCACCAGAAATAGAGCTTTGTAAAGAGTACAAGTTAGAAGACTTGTTACCTCGTGCAATAACCAGTGAGCCTTTAGTGATTTTCCAATGTCCATCACCAAAGAAACAACAGAAACCATCATCATCGAGTTTTCCTGTAGAAATGAGATTCAGTCTGATACCCGGTGCATGCTTTACATTTTTAAGTTCCAGCTTTGTGCCATTGCTGGTCTCAAGACAAACTGTACCGGTACCAATCACCTTCACCTGACCATCATCACCCATTCTTAGCTCTCCAAAATCACCTGGACTATATGAAGTAAAGAATTCCTTCCTTGGTGTAACATGGTAAGATGCGCCTGAATCTACAATCCAAGTTGTCTCATGGCATGCAACGTTGACGGCGTTCTCATCACAAGCAAGAAGCAAATCTGCTCTAACTGTTGCAACCTGGTTCTCTGTGTGATCATCTTTCTTGTCTTGCTTCTGTTCCCTTTTCAACTTGAAGCAATTTTTCTTGATGTGACCCTTCTTGCCACAATGATAACATTCAACATCCTTGTGCCATGACCTTGACTTACTTCTGCTTTTATCTCTACCTTTCTGACCCCTTTGTTTGTTTCTCCCCCTATCATTTGTAACCAAAATATCTGACTGAGAAGTGGAGGTGTCTTGAGATCTTCTTCTTGACTCTTCATTCAAGATACCACTCTTGACATACTCCATGGTCACAACACCGTTGGGAGCAGAATTGGTCAAAGAAACCCTAAGTGTTTCCCAAGAATCAGGTAGAGTGTTAAGCAACCAGAGACCAAGTACCTCATCCTCAAATTTGATGCCCATGCTAGACAACTGATCAAGAACACCCTGAAAATCATTGACATGATCATTGATCAATGTACCTTCCTTGAATCTTAGATTCATCAATTGTTTTAGCAAAAACAATTTGTTATTGCCCGTCTTAGAAGCATACAGGGTCTCAAGTTTATCCCACAGGCTTCTGGCATGTGTCTCGTTGATAATGTGATTCATAACATTATCTTCAACCCATTGGCGAATATAACCACAAACTTGTTGGTGCTTAAAGTCCCACTCTTCGTCTGACATGCTTTCTGGCTTTGCAGTTGCAAACACAGGTAGATGTAATTTCTTCACAAACAAAAGATCCTTCATCTTGGCCTTCCAAATGTGATAATTTCTACCATTCAATCGTACCATATTACTCATATTTGTCTCCATGTCAAATGTACCCAATCAACAACCAGGGCTCTGATACCACTTTGTTGGGAAAATCCCACTTCCTGCGACAATAAAAATCACAGAACCGACAGGAGCACAAACACAAGATGATACACAATAGCCCAAAAATAAATATCAAACACAAGAACACACGATTTACGTGGAAAACCCCAAATCGGGGAAAAAACCACGGGACCACCACCAACCAAATAATCCACTATAATAAATCTTGGGTACAAAGTTTCAGGCTACCACACGAGCCAAACATCCACAAATCATCAAATGAAATAATTATAGGCCAAAGACTTCTATTATATTCCACAGGCCTAAACAGAATACCAACTCGTACTTAAAATATTCAACCACCACAAGCAAGATGAAAAGAATACAAATAGTACGAGAATACCCAAAAGATGCCTGGAACAAACAAGCTGACCTCCAATAATATTTGATGAAGAAACCACCCAAGAAGTTAGACAAATTCACGGCTAAAATTCATCACACTTGAGTCAAAGGATGAAGAAACAAGATGAAGATAATTTCTTCCTCTGCTGCCGCCGAACTGCTGCCCTCCTCCCTCTCACGTTTTTTATTTTGTTTTGTCTTCAATTCACCAACAACCCAAATCACATATATATTACATTATATATATAATGGGGAATGAACCAAAAAAAAGGAGAAGTTTCCTTTTCACAATTTTGGTAAGCAAATTGCCGCACCATTCCATAATTCATCCATATATTCCTAATTAAATATTATTATATTATATAAATATAATAATAATAATTAGGGTTCAATATGAGAGGAAGTCCAACAAAATATAGTGGATACAAATTGGCTTGGTCCAAACATGAGCTATTTACCACATAGGAGGGAAGCCCAACCCAACATTAGCGCACCCGCTTTGCTTTTTTACCTGACTGATATTGCTAGCCATGCTGCTCGCTCCTAACTATCTGACTGACTTGATCACTCGACTTCTTCTGGTAGACTTGGCTAACCCTCTCATCTGGCACACTATCCAGAGTGCCTCCAATACAGCAATACCCAGCCGAGTCCTGATGTTGTTGGTCCAACTCCTTCAGTCATGTCATTTTCTGTTGCTTTATTCTTCCTTCAGCCGACTTGGCCGCTTGCCTTTTACTGTGCTCCGCCCGATTCCTCCATCCATCTTTTTTTTTTTCGCGGTTATGTTGCCTATCATTTTCAGTTTTTTGTTCATAAAAGTAATCAAATCGAAAGTATTTTCCTGGAATGAATAATTTATGTCATCAATTCAATCAACTGCATTAACATACAATTAAGAAAAAGGATGATTGTGGAAGACAGATCTATTAGGGAGACAACCCTAATTATTAAAAGATAAAGAAATTTCTAAAATATTCATTAGGCAGAAGCATTACATAGCATGATTGGTGCCCTTTAATTTCTTTGGTCTGTCACCCAAACATGTAAAGATTAAATTAATAATTTTTTGTTTAACTCTTGTATGCAAAAGATCATTTTCAAAGAATCTTTTCTGGTATTATAATCATGCTCATCACAACACCAATAATAGATCAGAAGTTGTAATAAAGTGAAAGCACAAGGGGGATGCAAGCAAGGAAAACAATGTTTTTTTGTGTTAAGTAAAACCCCATAAACTTGAGTTTCACTAATCCCCTCCCAACCGCAGAATTAATCTTTCTTTTAATGGCATATTTCCTTTCCATACCTGAAAACCACTAGCTAGGAGCCTAGGACCACAGCATTTGCCTTTTCTCTGTTGCTGACTTTTTTCCTTTTGGGAAAATAGGTTTTAAAGCCCTCAACTTCAACCCATCGGTTTGAGACAGTTGGTAAGAGTTTTGCGTTGAATTCAGGTCTTTTCTTAAGAAGAGTTAAATTTTGTGAGCGTGACCCTGGGTCGAGTCAATGTCATGTTAAGGAGCTCTGGGTCAGGTCTTTTTTGAAGAGAAATCAAACTCTGTGAGCGTGACATGGATTGAATATGAGTTAGTCTTAGAGAGGTGGGATACGAGATATTGTACGGTAAAAAGACTCTCAAGTTCAACTGAACCGTTTGGAACAGTTAGTAAGAGCTGTAGGTCGAGTTGATGTCTTGTTAAAGAGGTCTGGGTCCAGTCTTTCTCGAAAAAGAGCCAAACTTTATGAGTGTGACTTGGATTGAATTTGAATTAGTCTTACAGTGATGGGATAACGCGAAAAAAAGGGTCTCAAGTTCATTGGGTCTAGTCAGAATCTCACCACTTGCCAGACTGGCTCTTGTTGGGTAAATTTCAATAGCCATTGCAGCAGGCCAAGTGGTTGCCAGAGACAAATCCAATCATTCATAAAAATTGTCTCTTTTGATTCTTGGGAAATCAGACCATCCATAAAATTAGCACAATTCTCCTGTTGTAACTGAGATTTGAGAAAACTGTGAAAACTACAGGACCCCAGAATTGTGGCACCCATCATGTTCATATGAAGCCAAACACAAGCCACAATCATTCATCATATCTAGAAAAGAAAATGGCAGATCGTCTCAGTCGATATCAGACAGTCGAAGAAACAGTAATGGACATTGAAAGCTCATGAGTTGAGTTCACAGTACATATCTGTTCTTGCATTGCTTTACATAGGAACAATATCTTACATATGCTGCTGTTAAAAGACTCTGCACAAGAATATATATATATATATAATTCTATCCCTAAAGATTATAAATTAGATCCTAATAAATAAATCCGGGCAGGGAGGAAAAAAAAAAAAGATCACTAACAGCTGATGAGCCAGCAGAAAAATCAGATATGATGAATAACAATCTCGAGTGAATCATCTCTTCATATGTACAATAGCCTCTTCTCCGTGTGGAGTTTGATATCGAGGGTGGAAGAACTGTGATTGAAACGTCGTTTTCGTTTGATGAGTACTGATGCCAAGTTGCAGCTAAGTCCTAAAATTACCGAGGAACGTTTAATGTGTCCTTGCTAGAGATTCGAGTGAATCCCATGTGGACAATGCTTTGCAGGTCGTCTTCAAATAACGAAGGAAACTGGAAGAGAGATCAAATTCACAAGAAATAAGTACTAAATACAAGAAAACGAACTTCATTGTCATTGCTGATGATTTAATGAATTAAGTTTTTATCCTCAAAAAAAGAAAACGAACTGTCTCCTCGTTTTCTTTAGTTTCAAACGAGATAAAAAGTGTTCACCTGATTGAGATTCTCGCCAAATCCATCACCGGGAGGGAACTGCATTCCTAGGCTCGGGCTCGGGGAAGTACCCAACGGGGGGTACACGGGGCGTTGGCTTACTGCCCCATTCACAAGATTCGTGTGCAAGTGAGGAATCTGCTCAGGTGGATACTGTTCTTGACCATGAAAAGCTGGGGCTGAGGAACCCAAAGGGTACACAGGATGACATATCTAAACAAAAATGGTCCCAACTCCCAAGTTAGTACTTTTGCTGTTCCAAACATTTCATGACTCCACAACAAATGACAAGACAAAAAACATAAAACTAAGTACTAACATCCTTCGGGGCGAGGCTGTCTATGTTAACATCCATCCTCGGGTTCACTGTCGCTAACTTCATAGATAGGAACTGCAACAAACCAACAAACATTAACCGATGAACCAAGAAAACCGAATGGCATTGGCAATCCTCAAAAAACCGGAGATAATTTACCTCAACTTGTCTCTGTAGTGACTGTACATAGTTTATAATTTCATCAAGCATGAGTGCCTTCCCAGTTACCTAACCCAAAATTCTTTACTACATTAACATCATCATCTGTCTGACAAACATTATTGGTCAAAACAAAATTTGTGCTCACCTTACTACAGCCTGGTACAAGATCTTGCAAAAGCTTCATTCTTTCACTAATCTTCTCCCTCCTTACCTAATAAACATGGGATTATAAGCTGTCATTTCACTAAACTAAAACCAATCTGTGTTGACCATTATATATATATAAAAACATAAATGTGTAGTCCAACTATCAGCGCGGTTTTAGTTGAACAGAACACATCTTTCAATTTAGTATTAGAGCAAGTAATTGGGCCGGACACATGAGGGGGTGTGATGAACATATAATATAAAATAGTCTGACTATCAGCTTAAACTTTTAGTTGAGACAGATAAATTGGGTAAAGATTAAATTTTGTTTACTCTTTCTGCAAGACTATGGCTGTCTGTAGCTTGACCCCTTCTTGCTCTGACATGGATATAGTCCTTTGGTGGCTCCGGCGGCTTCTGGTTTGGCTTGCCGTCTCCGGCATTAGCAGTATTGTTCAGTTCCTCTGTTTTGACTCCATTGTTGTCATTCCCAGCTTCTTCTGCTGATTTGGATCGCTTTGCAGGTGAATGATCATCGGTTTCAGTTCCCTGTAATGGACAAAAAAGATTACTTCGAATCAATCAATGCCCAGTTTATATTGCACCATGTCCTCCCACTAACTACTAGACCTTCAAGTTTGTTGAGCATATAATATATATAAACATAAATGTGCAATTCAACTATCTTTTAGTTGAGATGCAGTATATGCTTCAATTTGGTATCAGAGCACCGTGATTCTGTCAAGCTAAGAATAACATAATAAATTATGTTATGATGAATGAAAATGTGGGGATTAAGAAATGTTACTACCTTGGCATCATCATCTTCCTCGGCGGCTCTTCTTGAAATGGGTTTTCTTTTTCTGGGATTGGATTCGGTCGGAGTTTGGTCGGGGAGGGAGAATTCTTGGTGGGTATTGTTTCCCGGGCCCAATTCCGGCGGGGACGGGCCGGAATTCTTGTTTTGCACGGGAGATCCAGCTTGCTTGAGAGAAGGGCTACTCGAAATTCTAGGCAGCTTTGCATTCCCAATGCACTGAACATTAGATCTGCACGGCAAGTCACCGTTTTTCAGCCCGAATTGACCCGTTCTACTGTTAAAGCTCCGGCTACCGAGGCAAGAGAGCTTCGCCGCCGTCCTCTCCACGTAACCGGCGCCGCCGGAGAGCGGCGCCGGTGTAGTAAAGCAAGAAGTGTCAGTAGTATTGTAATTATTAACGTTATTATCATTGTTCTCAGCGTAAGCCGCCGACATGTCCGCGGCGAACGGCGGCGGAGGAGCGGCCATGGAGCTGACACGCGACAAGAATTGACCGTACTGCTCCGGCGAACACCCCCAGTCCGCCATAGCCGCCTGCCCAAACTGCAAAGGTGGCGGCGGAGCTCCTCCGCCATTAAAGAAGTAATCTTTCTGCATAACAACAACACCCAGAGAGTTTTCTTTAAAGAAAAACAGGCGAGAACGAAGGAGATTCTTCAATGGAGGAGAAAACGCGAAAGGGGAAAGTGAAGAGAGAAAGTGGAGGAGAGAGTTATATAGGCGAAAAGGAAAAAGGTGCGGGCGGGGGGGTTTGACATTTTGGTTCCATTATCAGAGAGAGAGAGAGAGAAAGAGAGAGAGAGAGAGTTGCCGGAAAGAGCGGCGAGGGGAGGGTGGGGCTAATAGGCTTTGCCGGGCCTTGAACGTCGTAGCACCATCTCGCGTCGTCGCAACATTTTTCCCTTATTGAGATTACCATCTTTTCAAGTCCTAGAATATATGAATAGTCTGTCACTGTTTCATGTTTCTGTTGTTTGGGTAACAGTGTCAATTTTTTATTTTTATTTTTTTTTCTATTTCAATTCTCCTTAGATAAAGTTCATCGTGTTTTTTAAAAACTCATGTGTATATAGTAACGCTTTTAAAAGAATTGTTTCGAACAGGACTCGGTTAAGATTCTGCTGGTTTAATACATCTTGGAGTGAGTAAAACAAGTCAATCGATGGCATAATCGAAGACCAATATAACCAAACTGGTTGAAATTTTTGATGATTATTAGTTAAGAAATTGATTTGATTATTTTAGTTAACGGGTCAATTATGGTATCTTGACAATTAGGGGTGTGCATTATGAGTTATAAATTATAAAGTTAAAAAAACTATTAGTTATTTTGATTTTGGTTATTGGGTAGCTAGATATTTCTATTTGATAGCATAAAATATATTGAGATACTACGAGATAATATAAAAGAAAATGAAAACGTGATAATTAATATCTAATTGGTGATCGGATAGTGCATTGTGAACCTGAGCAGTCCAATCAATACAAGGTGCAAATGCCTAGTAGAGTGAGTAGTAGTGAATATGAGATGTTCCTCTAGCCAAGTAGTGATGTGCTATTTATATTATGATCTTGACCAATGCTATGATGTCTAATGGTAAGTAAGCTTGACGTGACATGTTTATACAGGTGGAGAAGGGCGATCGATCAGTTTTCAAGGTAGTTTCATTAGGCAATACATTAGTACTAGCTTCAAATTACTCCAGAGCCCCACTACCTAAGTATGTGCAAGTCAATCTTATTAGTCGATCAAAATTAAAAAAACTTGATCATGAGTCTTGTTTCCTTACTTCTTAAACATATTGCTTGAGTTAATGAGTTAATTGGATCACTCTATAACTCGATTATAGTTATTAATCAAAATCAATTGTCACGCACTCTTATTAATACCATCCATATTCCTATATATATATATATATATATATATATATATATATATATATATATATATATATATATATATATAAAATGCATATGAAATTTTTTCAAAATATTTATCTTTTATCTAAATTATTTTTCTTCCAATTTTTTTTCACTTCTTTTATCCTTGTTATATGTCAATTTCTTTCCAAAATTTCATTTTCCAATGTATCTTGTTATAGTTGCGCCAACAACATTAGTACAAAATAAAGAGTGAAAATCTCAACAAAAAAAAAACGTAAACATAAAAATTATACAATATAAAATTATGACGAGTGGCAAGCTTACCCAGCCATGTATTAACCACCCTATGCGATATCTACAAGTGTGCATTGCCCATGGTGTAGGATGAGCTCTTGAGTTGCTAAGATCATACATAATTTTAAACACTTTTAATCTTAACCACTCATCTTAACATCTTTTAATTACCAAGAACATCCCTATTACATGGTTTTTTTCTTAGTTTTTTTTTTTTTTTTTTTTTTTTTGGGTGCTAATGTGAGGTGGAAGAGAGAGAGAGAGAGAGAGGAGAGAGAAGGTTTGAGATGCTTAGAGGAGGTGCTGATTTTTTGTCTCCAGAGTGGTGCGCATGAGGTGCACTAGAAGCGCCTAGCCTGCACGCGCCTAATAGTTCCTTTGCTTTTTTTTTTTTTTTCCTTCTTTCCCTTCTCTATCCCATGTTCTCTCCTACTCATTTATGCAAAAATCAAATAAAATCCTAAACTAATGAATTTGCTCTAACAAATTTTAATTTTTCAACTTTTAATTGACTTTTATTCAATAGCTTTTAACTACTTTTTCAATGTTGAAACATAGTTTACTCTTTTTTTTTTTACCTTTTATTTTTAAAATGTCTAATGTATGGCTAATAAAAACATATTAGATGCACGTACCAGTTATATTTAACAGATGAGTTAATGGAATTTATTGTTTGTTAGAGTACTATTTTAAAAGTAATTACAATTCAGCTAAGGTTATATTGAAGTTTAGGTTTCGAGACCAACTCTCATCCCCTCAAATGTTGTTGTTATGTTAACATCTAAAAAAAAAAAACAAAAAACATCAGTTTTAGCTCTGAGTTGTTAGTTTTAAAAATTTGATCATTGTCAATTGATTTGAACAAAGTTAACTTTTCAATTGTCTATAATGTGTCACATTTAATTAGTCTACGATGTTATATTATTATTATTATTATTATTATTATTATTATTATAAGGAAAACTCGCAATCACTATTCGATAGTATACATTCCTGTGTAATAACTTGCAAATCACACATGGGAGATAAATTGCACTAGGAAAATTATGTGTCACGGATTCGACTGAGATTTTGAGAATGTGTTGGTAAAAATCAAACTCGTGACCTTTTATTTAAAGTTTATTCCAACTCTTGTAAATGGTGCGTTAGAGGGACTCTCCTCGAGTAAGAGTAAAACTCTGCGGCCACATTTTTGGGTGAATATGAATTAGCCTCATTGTGAGAATTCCAAATGGCATATGCAAAAATAAATAAATAAATAAATAAATAAATAAATAAAATAAACTAGGTTTTTTGCTTGCCATATTATATTTGTTTTTCTTTTTAAATAAAATTGTTGTGGTTTATATTTAAAGTGAATTACTCTCTAGAGCTATACAATCTCAATTACTTGGATTATTAGCTTATTCACGAAAGAAACAGATGCACTAACATTCAACAAAATTAAGATAAAACCTAATTCACGTCACGCGTTTGTAAATACCAATTTAAATATGTTTTTCTAAAATTACTCGAGATAAAATCCAAACATTTAATTAGCAATTTAATCAAGATCAGTTTGCTCAAAATGTCATCATAATCAAACAAGAGAATAAGAGGTCTTGTAACATAATTGCCTTGATGCAGACCTACAAAACCCCTTAGAAGTTAGAAGATAAAGTGTGCTAAAGTCAGCCATACATTAAGAATCCAAGTACTAGATGTACAATGTTGTTTTTATTTCTCGTGAAGTGGCAGTCTATTCTATATTTTGACAAATTCTATTTCCAACCCCTTCATTATTCCATTCTTTCTTGACTTCCACATTTTTCCAAGTGGCATACCTTTTTTTTTTTTTTTTTTGGATGGCAAGGAAAACTCGCAGTTATTACTTAATGATAATATGATATATACTAGATAAATCTTGTTACTGTGTAACAATTTACAAAAACATGGGAGAGGTAAACTGTATTAGAAAACCCAGCCTGTGTGACTGGATCGGTCGAGAAATAGTAGTAAGAATCAAACTTGTGATATTTCGATACAATAATCATGCTTCACTCACTCAACTGTCAATTTCAGTGCAGTGGCATATATACTTTTTTGGCCCTTAGTCCATTTTATGTGAATTAATTATTATTATTTATTTCCCACAATTTTACTTTAACCCCAATACAAAAATAATACATAAATAAAATAAAATATTAAAATATTTTCCATAATGGGTGCTGAAAAATTCAATTTCTTGACATCATGGCTTACGCCATAATTACATATTTTTAGTGCTCAATGGAAATTGTAAAATGTGAAAAAAATATAATGAAAAATTGGGTATAAAGTAATTAGGAAAATAACACTTCTAGTCCCTGAATTGTTTTACTTTTGAAAATTTGATCTCTGTAAGTTAATTTAAACAAATTTAGCCCCTTAATTATTCAAAATGTACACTTTTAACCCCTCAATTGTCCAAAATGTTCCATTAGCATATGTGATTATTTTTATTATATATAAGTAATATTTACTATTAAAAATAATGTTCACATATTGGAGAGAGTGAAACTTAATCATGGATATTGATTTCAAATGACAAAATTAACCTAAAAAAAAAAAGAGTGTGGTAACAAAATTTGATAGTTATATAACAACAGAGACTAAAAGTGCAACATAATGAACAATTAAAGGACTAAACCTGTTCAAATCAATTAACAGGGACCAAATGATCAAAAGTGAAATAATTAAGGGGTCAAAAGTGCTGTTTTCTGAAATAATTATTATATCTCTCAATTATGTATATCTGATTTTTGTGTGATTGTAAAATCAATATTAGCAATTTTACCTCCCAAATGCTCTGTCGGGACGGGGTGTGGGGGCCTTTAGGGTTGAGGTTTAGTCTTTTGTGTGCGCGCGTGTAATAAAAAAATATTGTAATAAGTAAAAGTTAATATATAAGAAATACTAAATAAAATATTAACTTATTTAAATAATTAATAATATTTTGGTAGTTTAAGGGTACTTTGGGGTGATTTTATAAACGGACTAATGAAAAATACTAAATTTCTTAAATCAAATCCTTAAATTAGTTAATTTCAAGAACACAATGATTTTTTTATAAAATAACTCATTGCCATAATACTCTATTATTATTATTATTATTATTATTATTATTATTATTATTATTATTATTATTATTATTAGTGGTAGTAGTAGTAGTAGTTTAGTGGAGGCAAAGTGGCTATTATTACATGATTACAGGAGGCAAGGTGATATTATCTCTATGTATATATACAGAGCAAAGTTAATCCTTACTACAATTGACAATTAATTGGTCTTGTTGTGGTAATTATTATGTGTTGGCTACTACTTTTGCCCCTTCAAGGACTATTAGGTGAATAATAATGCATTCCTTTTGATTACAATCATCAATAATTTATTTATTTTGAAAGATATTTGCATTTCACCATAAAGCTAGCCTATACCATTGCTATAACATCATCATTTGAAAAAAAATTAATAATCCTATTAGTTGCCAAGTAGCGTGTAGCTCAATGACACCTCTGTAACTCTAAGAAGTCACAAGTATCTTAGTTTGGGCGTTGATACTGTACTACATTGTAATAGAGTCAGTCTGATATAAGAATCATGTTCTGCCTATTTAATCACCTCTTTCGGGACTCCTACTTCAAGCTTTTTTATAAAGCTAGCT